CCCCAAAACCCCAAAACCCCAAAACCCCTCAATACATATCTCTACTTAATTTTTTTTGGAGAAAAAATTATTTCCACATTAATTAATTGGTTTTATTGGCAATAAACTATTAACTTTTGCAATATCACTGCTAATACACAAATATTCTCTTGAACTCAAACAGCAAGTCTTCATTTTTCTGTATTAAAGAATTGATGACCTCCATATTATCATTCTAAGAAGCCTGGCTCTTTATCATTATCCTGCACTCACGATTTTTATTGAGCATTACTTGGCATTGATCTTTACTAATGCTTCCTCCATTTTGCAAATAAAACGAAAGTTCTTTATTAAAGTTCTATAAAAATAATAAGCTTTAATATTTGATTACCTCCAGTTCGTAAATTTTTTATTGAAGTAAGCCGCCATTTTAGAATAGAGAAGAGACACTGCTAGTCTTGCTCAAGTCTCGAGTGGATTAATAATTCTAGCTAAAAGTCGCTGAAGAATATTGTCTGTCCAGAGTCTATTAGCTACTTTATTAGGATGATGGAGAACTGAAAGCTAATGGTAGCTTTTACGTACCAGCTATTGGCAAGTTTTTAGGGCTAGTTATCAGATTGCTATTTACTCCCTTAAGTGATTAAGTTTTACCAAGTAACTCCTTTACTGTTTTACAAGGCTATATCTTTTATTAAGATTGAAAATGATTAATTTAGTGAAGATCTGCTTATGATTGCATCACTCTGAAATTGACTTTCTAATTATGGTCGATGCCTGTAAGTTACTACTTTACTAGCTGCTAGTGTCTTTCTAATGAGGACTAATTGTTTCGATCTTAATATTTCATCTTAATATTTTAAGGGTTGAGTTCGATAGTTGTATTAATAGGCCTCATTTACACACCACCAGCATTAGTATTTTCATCATCTTAACGAGAATACTAAAATAGTTCAGCAGATTATTCATTAGTTTATGGATAGCTAAACTATTAGCTGTTTTCATTAGTGTGCGGCATGCTTTGGACATCATTTTCATCATCGAATTATTCAATATCTTGTATGCTTTCATCATATACCAATGAAAACTTGATGTCTAAAGGTATCTGACTCTCCATTACCTTTCCATTTCTAGCCTTGTTCATTTTGAAGTGCATAGGACTTAATACTTCCTTATCATTTATCATTAGAGATGGTTGGTGATATTTTTAAGTCTTCAGAGTAACTTTAGATCTTTTTCTATTCATAGTATCATCAAGATGAACACTAGAGATTGTATCTCCTGTATCTTAATTGTGCGGGGTAAATAAAATCTTGAAGTCCTCGGTAGTTTGCATCTCTTAATCACACCTTTCAATATTTTGATACTAGTCGAGCTTTAGCTATAAAATTTAATTGTTTTGTTCCTATTCCATTAATTAGCCTTCTTTGTCAAGAAGAATCAAGTAAATATCATCGATTTGCTAACGAAGTACTTATATTTTTCTATTAGCTTCAAGCAAACAGCATTCAGTTTGAAGGCATGCTTAATTTAAACAAGAATTTTGTTTAGTTTCTCTTAAGATAATTGATTTTCTGATTTCATCTATATTTTGCAGTGACTATTATGTTGGAAGGTTAAGTTAAGAAGCTATATGCTAAAATTTAGCAGTAGATTTGTTATTCATAAGACTTAGTGTTGATTTTTAAGATACTAGTGGCTAGATATTGTGAAGATTTGAAGTAGAGGTAAATTTTGGATTCTATTTCTCTACAGAGTTCTAATTAAAAGTCAGAAAATGAGAAGAGCCGCTCTCTTGAAGATTAAGAGTATTCATATTATTCTCTTAATTTGGGTCCATGCTACAGTAGCTGCCTTGTTTTTCATTGATAAGATTTTGCTCATACATTTTCTATCTTCTCTCTGGACTAAAAGGAGGAGTCTCAATTAAGTTGCGGATAAAACTATGACTTTCATCATTTTACCCTAGATGAGTTTTGCTTCTCTGCACATTTATTAATTATTTATGCCTTTGCAGCTGATTTTAGTACTATGGTTATTTTAGATCATTGGGGTTAAGATTTTAAGAAGAAGTTATCTAAGAAATTTATTGTTGATTTCCAACATTATATTGAGAATCTTGCTAAGCTCTTTTACTTCTCTATAATATGAAATAAAGTTAACAAATCTAATGAATTACTGGTAATGGAGTAATCATAGTGTATTAAGGTAACTTATTACTAGGTGACGACTACTAGAGGAGTAAATTCGTCGATTTCATATGAGACATTTGATTCATTTACTAAGAGGGCTGATTGAGAAGAAGGTTATTCGAAGAATTCATAGGAATTTAGTTTCTAAACATCTTTGATTTTAATTCAAATATATAACAACTATTATTGCTCTTTTGATTTAAATTTCATCTTATTCAATTATGCTTTATCAACGATCTGTGGGTTTTTGGGGTTTTGGGGTTTTAGATTGAAT